ATTAATTACTTCCTCCTCTCTCTCTCTCTCTCTCTCTCTTTCTCGAAAGAGTTTCATTTTAGAGTTCCCTTATAGACGAGTTATTTATAGAGTTTAATTATAGATGGACACAGTAGCAGAAAGGTTTCGAGCGAGCGAAAACAATGTGTGATTACACTTCGAACGCAAAAGTGTCAAAAGTATTTATAGCGTAGCGGGCACATGCGATGTCGGAGCAGCATGCCGAAGGGCCCGATGAGAGGAAATTATTCGCGTTACTTCGAGCTCTCTGCCGACGCATTAGGTACAATTGGATGCGTGGGCAATGTTAAACGTTAAATCGTTCGTCACGATAGGAGACGATGCGACGAGATTGCTCGCCCACGTACGAATTTCCTGCGGCACCGATCCGGTGTACTTTATTCGGGTCTAGGTAGAGGAGGATCACCGGGCGATCAATGGCGATTAAACGGTGGTCGTTACGGTGTCTCGGTTTCTACCGAGTTGAAATTGCTCCTGCAGAATTGTCTGTCGATCGATGACCGTGAATTGAAATAAAATTGGTGTTCTGCTACGTGTGTACTTACTACTTACTTAGACGAAAGAAGGGAAAACAGGAACGAAGATGAAGAGTTTAATCGAGTATCTCTTGTTTTCTTGTGATGATTTAATATTGATTAAAAATATTTTATTTTATACGATAAATGATAGTTATTGAGACGATTTTCGTTTCATTTTTTAATAAATTTTTAAAACTTTGGAACTGTGCTTTCGACTCGTTAATCAAAATTCGTTAACAAAATAGTTGAACAATAAATTATTCAGTGATTTATTGTTGTTTCAATGCCACTTCTGATATAACATTTCCGATATACCTTCCAAAGGATCAATAATCAAAAATGAAAAAAGTATATCGAAATTTTATACATCTATAAATATACAAAAAAAAAAAATAATAATAATAATATTATTCTATAGTATAAATTTCAAATAATAAAATATTATTAAACAATACTCGTGTAATTTCAATTTAAATTCCGCTAATGCAATTTCTCTTCTAACACTTTCGATTGTCAATGTACATATTCGTTAATTGTAAGTCGCGTGAGTACACGCGTTAAACAAACGATACTCGTTGTATACTTCACACGAAACCGGCCGTGTTTCCTCTGTATGGTGTGTTACAGTACAGAGAACGAAGATAATATTTCGGGGCACGAATTTACAGAAATTTACGACCGGTCCTTTCTTCTCTCTCTCTTTCTCTCTCTCTCTTCTCTTTCGACCCTATCTTCCGAAATGAATCTCCGCCGCGTTGCACCGGTCCTGTGACCTTAACGCCGGTGAAACCGATTCGATGGATTCGGGGTACGAGGAGATCCGGTGGGGGGGGAAAAAAAAAAATTTCTATACCCCACAGAGAAGATTCCACGGCGTCTACGATCTTCCCAGGGCGACTACCTGTCGAGTGACGTGGCTCAGCCGCATTTTTTCCCTCCCCCTTTTCTCATCATTAACCCCCTCGCGCGGACTCACCCCTTCTGCGGCGAATTCTTTCGTGGAATTCGTACCAACTCCACACCGAAATTCTTCCCGCCGTGGAATCTTTGTCTTTCTGGGATGAAACGTCTTGTTTTTGGCCGGGAGACGAAAACTCGGTTCTCGAACGCGTTCGACTTTCACGTGTATTAACTTGCTCGGCGAGGATAAAAAGAGGAAAAAACGATATGCGCGAGTAGAGGAGAAATCTTCGTTGATGGAGATCTTCATTGATATGTTGTAAAACAGGAAATTGAAGCTACGTGTGCGTTTTGTTTGTTAGAAACTAGAATTAATAAAGAATTTTATAGCATATCTGAAAAGATATCTAAAAATGATTAGTTTGTTTTTTACAATGCATATCTCCGTATTTGAAGATGGTTTAATTTTTAATTATTTTGCGAGCTATTATAAATTGAAAAAAAAGTGCAATCTATCGACTCATTAATAATCAAAAATAACCAAGACAATTTTGCGCGAATATCCACGTCAATCGATCTCTCAATTGTATATTATATCGACTTTTCGTAACTCTTCTCCAAACGCAGCGTTACGAAACTATTCCAGGATGTGAGATCAAAAGGTACACAATGTTCTTCTTAAACGAGGGATCATTTAACGAACCACGACAAACATTGAAATCGCACAAAAATAGAAAGGAGGAGGAGGAGGAGGAGGATAGATAAGTCTTCTTTTTTGCGGAATATACGTAATAAAAGGCGTGAAAAGTTATTCAAAAAAAGAAAAAAAAATACAAATGAGCGACGAATGGTTGCTACGTATATGGTTGCTACGTGTGCCGCATTAATATCTCCCTTCGACCGAGTAGGATACTAATTACCATTGCCAAACGCGAGGTTAAAGGCATCGTTATACGTTCGTGCGCGCGTGTTTCAGGAAGAATAACACCTCATCGTTTTTAACGTCAACCTTGCGAACGAATACGCTCAACTCGTGCGGTTGAATTATAACCCGTGAGTTCCGTGCGTGCCTCGAAGGTTGGCTCGAACGATCCTCGATGGAGGACTTGGAGGAGAGAACGTAGCCAACCGACCGACGGGGCTGAATTTATTTAAACCCTCGCGAATTACGATCGTTAAACGATTTCTGGTGTCCTCGATCGATAAAAGTATCCTCGCTTGGTAGAAATTTCGCTTCTTTACGTTCGTGGGCGAGAAGACGAAGGGAAGGGTAAAAACCTGTGGCGAATTTTTATTGTGAAACTAGGAAATTCGTGTTGTAATCAAGAATACACTTTTCTTCTTTTTTCTTCATCCTCTTAGCACAATGAGTCTTAAATTACTGGTCTTACCGGTGGAAAATATTTCGCACTACCATAAATTCGAGTTCCTTGACTTCGACTTGAGATGTCCTTTCAATCTTATTCAAAGCCTCAAAATTTTCCTACAAATCTTATCTATCCATCTCCGAGAAAGATTAACATTAACCGATACAATTCGTTTTGATACAACGGGAACAAGATTCAACGTTCAAAGAAACGAAAACTTTCGACTGATTCACAGACTACCACAGCTCGCACGAGTAATCTCGTGGACCCGGTGAAATACATACCGTGGAATCGGCAGACCAATAACGCGGATACCTAGTCCGCCCACGTGGCCACCGCCACAAATCCAAATTTACACACACACACACACTCACGCATACGCTCGATCCACTGTGGAACGAGTATGAGTACGAGTAATTTCGCGTATTCGTGGTCCACGGTTGAAACGAACGAAGGCGTCGAGGGGTCGGAAGAGGTAGAAACGAAGAAGGAAACGAGACACCGGTTTTCCAGCGGTGTTGCATTCATGAGGCCGAATGAACGAACGCTCGAACACGAATTAAGCTTGTCCCCGAGCGTAAACGCGCGGCTACACGGGGCCTGGACGTGTCCGCTCGCGATTTACACTGAATGGCCTCCTGTCACGTGGGTGTAGAACGTCGATACACGCTCGATCGGGACGAATTAAGGCGTCTCACGTCCAATTTCACGGGAGGAAGATCTTCTTTCGAGGGATTTCGATTCTTCTCCCGACCCCTCTCCTCGGGGCACGCGTGAAGCCACGGTACCCTCATGGACGACAGACTTTCACGCCTTCCCTTGTCGACGAGTCCTCATTTGCAACACAATGCACGGGGAAGCGCGTGCGCGACACACGAGGATCGACATCGGATATCTGGTTTGACTCGTGACGACGACAGTCAGGGCAATGAGTGACAATGAGGAGAGACAATGATCTTTATGACGCAAAAAATGTAATTAGAAAGTTTTCTATATATATATGGACATCTTTTTCGTGATCACGACGATATAATACTTTAGGAGATGAATGGACTTTTGATTAAGAGAATGTTTATATCGATTTTAAATTATGATTATGCGTATGTATGAAAACGATTGATTACATTTTTTTCATCATTCTTTTATTTCGTTTCATATTGGCTTAAAGTTGATCGAAAGATTTTATCGTAAGCGTATCGTATGTCTCCTAAC